TTTAAATGATTGTCTTTTAGAATCATCATGCAAGGTTCACGTGTGTTCCTCTGTTGCAACGAGAAAACGCGGGTCAGTTGGATTTCAGAAGGGCAGGAAGCAGATGTTCAATGGGTCATGTGGCGTCACGCTGTATAGATTGAATCACGTTATCACTGTTCCTTAGGTCTGTTGTTTTGCAAGCCTGAGGGTGTGATTAAATTACTCGTCCTTTTCCTGTCGGATGTAATAGTTCCATTCATTGGTGGTCACAAGACATCACAAGGTATCTATAGGTTGTGAAATAACTTTTTTAGTCCTTGAAACAAAGAAAGCTTTGTTGTCTCCTGATTGGATTAGTTTAGACCTCATGATGGCTGATAGGGGCTTATCAGTGTCTATATGGATAGGAATCCCTACATGATGCTAATCTTCCCTGCCTGAACAGAGGATAACCAATATTAGCATGTAATGCTAATCTTCCCTGCCTGAACAGAGGATAACCTTCATCTCTAAAAGCAATTTTTTAGAGGATAACTTAGCTAACCAAACCCTACATCTGTCTGTTAACTCTTCTCTGACGGCGCAGAGGATAACAAATTTGTACTGGTCTGAAAGGTTCTTTTGGATAGAGTGGCACTCACCAACCCTTGGTTGTAAAGAAAGATTCAGTCTGGAACTAAGTCAGATCTTTGTTGAGCTTGAGTTGAAGTTTCAATCTGGATTCAGGTGAGGAGCTCTATCCGGGTGACGGCACCAAAATTGTAAGTAACTTTTTCCTCGTCGAAGCAGAGACCAGGAGATGCTGGGATATCTTTCATACAGAAGTTACTCTTTATTAAGCACTCGCTGTGCGTCGCTGCAGTCATCCAAGTCTTACTATAGCTCAGCACAGTAGAGTTTATAACTTTCAAGGGGGAGGGATACATAGGGGTGGAGACAATCTAAATAAAGCATGCAAATGCAGTACAGGAATCAGCCCGTTACCGGAATTTCTCCAGTCCTGATCTCATCAGCATAACAGTGTCATTCAAATGCATAGGTGCTAATCCAATCAGCCTGACAGTATCGCCCATACCTTCACATTATCATAGAGACAAAGGCACAGCTGTGCCTTGAGCTTAGCATTCACCTTTAACTTGGGAGCCTGCCCAATGGTCAAGAAGTGTGTAACTCAAGTCCGCCTCTCCATTGTTAAACTGCAGTAAGTGAACAAAGTTAACATCTGAGATCGTACAATAAGGAAGAAATTGAGCGTGTTCCTCATTTTTGTAATGCCTTGTTTATAGCTTTGTGTTTACGTGTCCAGAGAAACTGGCACGGAGATTTAAAGATCTGCTGAGATCGTTATCACTGTTTCCCTTAACTGCAGCACGAAGCTGCTATTTGAATAAAGTTAAATTTAACTCCGAACGAACTGAGAGTTTAAGTGCCACCTCGCAAAACCAACCAAAAGCGGTGTTGTTATTTGTACAGTGTTGAAATGCGCCAAAATTTCATATAACCTAACTTGCAATGCAACTATTCACATGCTAGCCCACTAGAGCTCGTTTTGGTTGCCATAGTTACGATCGTGACACGGAACTCTTAACCTACTTCATGAATGCAGTGTCTGTTTGCAACGATAAAGTGATTTAACCCTTTAAACATCTCAACTAATACACCTGTTGGTCTCCTTCTCTCTCTTATTTCTCCCTTCTCTCACTTCTAACCACTTTATCCTATTTTACTAGAAAGGGAAATACTGACTCAGAATTATTAATTGTGCGAAATTCAAATTTAATTAAAACATTAAATTTATTTGGAATCATTCATATTTCCCCCTCAGATCATTTCATATCATCATTATTTCTAGTATTCCCTCTTATGCCTAATTATCTTAGGTAGGAATAAGCCTTGAACTTTTAAAGTTTAAGTAAACTTATTCTACCTAATTGATTTTATTACCCCATCAATAAATTATATTCAGACTTATACTTACTCATTATTTTATTGCGTTTTACCCCTTTTCTTCCTGTTAGGTTATACACTTAGCCATTATTGTTTTATTTATTGATTTCCTCCTTTATTTAATTTCATTTTTACTTATTTTGCCCATTTATTACTTTTTTTTCATTCTCTTAAACTCATTGTTTCCTCACTTTCTCTCTTTCTGCAACTTGTGTGAATGTGTGTGTTTATGTGTTAGATTAGTTTATATGTCTTAGATTTATCCAATAAAGCCTTATTTATATTGAAAAGAGAAGTATCTTGTGTTTTGTGCTTACAAGTTAATGTCTTAAACTGCCGATCTTGTTACTGTGCTAATTAATAGTGTTTTCACTATATTTTGGATATTAATATCCATTGCAGAATTGATGTTATACGGCTCGTTCAATGAATCGCTGGCCGTCTCAGTGATCAGCCGTAAAACAGTGATTCTGTCCAAATTCCCTTTAAAATCTTAAATGATTCCCTTTGAGCTAAATTGACCTGTTTCCCTTAGACTGACTTGATCTCCTTAGAATGTCATCATCTTTACCTCAAAATGTAAAACACAATGTACATAACTTTTTTCAGTTTATATACTATTACATCGGAACCTAGATATAACATTTTATAAATTTGTAATCCAACACATGGCAGAAGACAGGTTGAGTGATCTGGGGATTCTAAGCATAGAAAATCACATTGAGCAAAATCATTAAATCTTGATGAGTTTGTGGATATCTTTGTCAGAAATCACAAGAACCGTAGGATTCAGCTACTATAATTTAGAGACAAATAAAATGTTCTGTCCCTTGAGTAAACTCATAGTGTTTAGAAATGCAATGGGTTTGCAATTTGTCTGTAAAGTAATGCAAAGACTCAAGGCACTTGCTTTTTCTTGGTAAATAAAGTGCATTTTCACCTGTCAGAGTTCAGAGATTTAGTACTAACATTTAGATTTTTCTTAAGACATGGGATAGTATGACTTCATGACCAATTATTAATTTAGCATTTGGACACAGAAAATATCTAGTTTCTTATTTTACATGCTTCGTGTTGTTTGAGATATCTTTCCTAATGTTTCTGTAATCTTGCAACATTTTTCTTTTTTGTAATGTTACTTGATTAATTAGAGTCCAATAAGATTTTTATTTACTGATTTTAGGCTTTTTGTCATTTTATTCTGAAAATTATTAGCATATATATTGTTTTTTTTTTTTGTATACTTTGGAAATAACTAAATTCACTGTGTACATTTGTAATCTATAAATTCTGTAGAATTTCAGTCTGTAAAACAGAACATGTAAAACATGGTCACAGTCAGATGTGTTTTTCTATTTATTTTTGTTTTTGTGGCCAGCCCAATAAAATCACTGGGTCTTACCTGGCCACCCCTGAAAAAAAGTTCTGGCTACGCCCCTGCTCGGATGCATTCTGCCGTAAAACCCCAACAAAGAACTGCCGCATCAAACAATACATTTGTCAATCTTTTTTTTTATGATATGTTCAATTATGATTACATTAACAAAAGGGGTCTTAAAATACACCGACAATACCCTGTTGTTGTTGTTGTTGTTGTTTTTAAAAGCCAGTGTTGGTGTCAATCTTTTTTTTATTATTATTATTTTTATTATGATATGTTTAATTATGATTACATTAACAAAATGGGTCTTAAAATACACTGACAATACCCTGTTGTTGTTGTTGTTGTTGTTGTTTTTAAAAGCCAGTGTTGCATTTGAATCAGTTCTGCACACAAGAGTCAATGTTAACAATAACAGATTTATATCGATTGGTTTATAAATCTATTGGCTGCAATTCCCTTCCCCTAGTGTTTCATTTAAACTGTTTCTGATAGAATATTAGAAACATAAAACTAGATAGTTGTTGTTGTTTAATTATTGTGCTGCTACTAACAGGGTATTTCTCTTTCCTGCTATTAACAAAATACATTCACATGCTGAAAAAAAAACAATAGAAACCATCACAGAAATTCTAATGGTTTCCACTACAAATACCATTACAAACATTACAAATCATCAACTTTTAACCATTAAAACCATTAAAAAACTGTTTTCTGTAGTGTGTTTTGAAACATATTCCGTTAGGATTTAGTGGTTTTATCAAGACACCAACCGAATGCAACTAATTACCAGTAGAGACCAACAGACACAGCATTAGATGTTGTTGTTGTTGTTGTTGTTTTTAAAAGCCAGTGTTGCATTTGAATCAGTTCTGCACACAAGAGTCAATGTTAACAATAACAGATTTATATCGATTGGTTTATAAATCTATTGGCTGCAATTCCCTTCCCCTAGTGTTTCATTGAAACTGTTTCTGATAGAATATTAGAAACATAAAACTAGATAGTTGTTGTTGTTTAATTATTGTGCTGCTACTGACAGGTTATTTCTCTTTCCTGCTATTAAAAAAATACATTCACATGCTGAAAAAAAAACAATAGAAACCATCACAGAAATTCGAATGGTTTCCACTACAAATACCATTACAAACATTACAAATCATCAACTTTTAACCATTAAAACCATTAAAAAACTGTTTTCTGTAGTGTGTTTTGAAACATATTCCGTTAGGATTTAGTGGTTTTATCAAGACACCAACCGAATGCAACTAATTACCAGTAGAGACCAACAGACACAGCATTAGAACCAATACAATTGCTATTATAACCAGTAAAACCATTACAAATTCTGTAAAGGTTTCTATTGGGGTTTTTGTTCAGCGAGGTAGTTCGATTATCAGTTAATTGAGTCCGGTGGATGAAAGCACAAATAAAGTTCAACTCAGTCTCTGTTCAGAAGCTCAAAAAACATAAAAAACTCCACTCTTCTTTATCTTTAACCTTTACCCTACCAGGAAGTGACTAGTCTTATGATTTCTCCAATATCTTACTGAAGGCTAAAGAGTCAGTGTTTTGGAGATCAGAGGATTACACTGTAAATGAGGATTTTGGAGAAGTGTATTGAACAGAATAGATTTGATTTTGGTTGTAATTGTTATTTACTTTTCAAAGTCAGCAAGTGAAAGTAAATTGTAGATTGTTGCAGCTTTTACAAGAAGAGGAAATGGATTCCAAATCTGTGGAAGAGCTTTCTTGTCCCATTTGCTGTGAAATCTTCCAGGATCCTGTTCTTCTGTCCTGCAGTCACAGTTTTTGTAAAGAGTGTCTTCAACAGTTCTGGAGAACCAAGAAGACTCAGGAGTGTCCTGTCTGCAGAAGAAGATCGTCAAAAGGCCTGCCTCCACGTAATCTAGCGTTAAAAAACTTGTGTGATTCACTGATAAAGGAGCGAAACGAGAGGCGCTCATCAGGATCTGAGGAGATCTGCAGTTTACACAGTGAGAAACTCAAACTCTTCTGTCTGGAGGACAAACAGCCGGTGTGTTTAGTGTGCAGAGACTCAGAGAAACATGTCAATCACACATTCAGACCCATCAGTGAAGTGCTTCCATCTCACAAGGTATGATCAGAAATTGGCTTTCATTTCATATGCTAAGCAGTGCTTTGCTAGTAATATTTGTATATGTTTATCCTTTACAAGTTAAATAATTAAAAAAAATATATGTCCTGCAAATTTCAGGCACAAATGGCACTACTTAATGAGAATGATCATACGTCATACAATTGACAAAAACTATGAAAACTTCCAAACATACTAAAGCCCTTAACTACTTAAGTTTAACAGATTTCCATTTTAACTTGTAGGAGGAACTGAATACAGCACTGACATCTTTACAAAACAAGCTCAAACATACAAAGAAAATGAAAGCAAAGTGTGATAAAACGGTTCAACACATCAAGGTGAGGATATCGAGAGTCAAACATTAACAGAGATTATGATGGACATTAATGGAGTGAGTGTTAATACAGAGCTGACTGAAGTGAATGTGATGTGATTTCAGTCTCAAGCTGAGCACACAGAGCGTCAGATTAAAGAGGAGTTTGAGAAGCTTCATCAGTTTCTCAGAGATGAAGAAGAAGCTACAATCACTGCACTGAGGGAGGAAGAGGAGCAGAAGCAGCAGATGATGAAGGAGAAGCTGGAGGAGATGAACAGACACATCTCAGCTCTTTCACACACAATCAAAGACACGGAGGAGATGATGAAAGCCAGCGATGCCTGCTTTCTGAAGGTGACAACTGAATTTAGCTTCATTGTTTGTGCCCAAAACAACTCACCAATTACCCAACCAATGATCAAACTCTTAATTTGTAAAGAGAGAAAATGAACTGTTATGAGTGTTTGATGAGATATTAAAATGTTTTTCAAACTCTATATTTTCCAGAACTTTAGCATCACGATGGAAAGGTAAGTTGAGCTGCTGGTGTTTCTTCTCTCAGTGGATCTGAACTCAAATCCACTGCAGTTCTGACTCCTGAATGTTCTTCCAGAGTCCAGATCTCACAGCCGGATCCACAGATCAGTTCTGGAGCTTTGATTCATGTGTCGCATTACTTGAGTGACCTGCGGTTCAGAGTCTGGAAGAAGATGCAGGAAACTCTCCAACACAGTGAGTCTCCAGAAAATCTGACACCAGTACAAAAGATTAAATAGTTAAGAATCAAAGACAGACAGATCAACATTTGATAGAAATACATCTAATATTCACTTTAAGTTCTATGAATTTGAAATGAATCTGAACTGTATTTCATAAGATCATCGGATCATACTGCAAACTCATAATGACTACAAAACACAGTATATTTCTCGTGGTGTTTGTTTATGTAAATAGGTTTGTATTTCTAATATACCATCATATCCTCTCATCTGATTTAATTCTCTTTGCAGCTCCATTGACTCTAGATCCAAACACAGCACATCCTCGGCTCACACTCTCTTCTGATTTGACCAGTGTGTCGTACAGTGATTTACGTCAACATCTTCCTGCTAATCCAGAGAGGTTTGACAAGTATCTATGTGTTCTGGGTTCTGAGGGCTTTAACTCAGGAACACACTGCTGGGATGTGGAGGTTGGAGACAATACTAACTGGAGTGTTGGAATAACCACAGCATCAAACCAAAGGAAGGGAGAGGTTTTCTTTAACACTAATGTCTGTCTTGTGCAGTACATGAACAGTAAATACAGCTCACAATCACCAGATCAACCTTTGACTGTCTTCACAGTTAAAGAGAAGCTGCAGCGTGTGAGAGTTCAGCTGGACTGTGACAGAGGAAAGGTGTCCTTCTCTGATCCTCTAACTAACATCTGTCTCTGCTCATTCACAACAACCTTCACAGAAACTGTCTTCCCATTCTTATATAACTACTGCAAAACTTCCCCTCTGAGGATCTTACCAGTTAAACTGATTGTAACAACAGAAAATCACAGTTAAATCTCATTCTGCTTTTAGATAAATTAAGGTACAAGAATTTGTTGTTTTCATTGTTTTGCATTTTATGGTTATTATGGTAACTAATGGATATTAAACAACACATATCTGAAAATATATGAAATTATATTTTTAGGTAAAAAACAAACAAACAAACAAACAGAAGTAGCAATAGATTTTCTTTCTGTGTATTGACCTGCCCTGCGCTACATTTTTTCATTATATTATCAAAAAAGAAAATATATATAGGGCAGGTCTTGGTTCTATTCAGCTGTTGTTGACTGGATTTTGATTGATTTTTGGATTTGATTGATTTTGATTGGCGTCACACTCAAATATGAATGTGATTGTAGCGTAGGGGAGTGACAACTGAGTAGAGGATCCAAACAGAATCAGATCAAAAGCCTGGCTCCAACACACCTGCCTGTAATGTTCCAGTAAAGCTGAATGTCTAGAGTAGATTATTATAACTGTTTGATTACAGGAGTTGAACTCTGCACTAGACCTCCAGAACCTCAGGCAAATGCACTCTGTGTGTGTTACAGACTACAATGTGTAAAATTACAATATATTAATAATTGCATTACGTTCACAGTAATTCCACAGCGGGACTTCTCTTGTATCAAACTGCACTCTCAGAAATATTCTTGTAAACAAACAGCATCATACTGTGTTTCTACAGTGCATATAAAGCTTGTGTTGTTTATTTTGTAATGTTGTAAGTTTTGTTTTTATTTGTTGTGTTATGTAGCATTTGGACCAATCAGACACAACTTTTTGTTATATTTAACAAATAATATCTAACACCCCCTCACCTAAACAAAGGGCAAATTATGAGGGTCTATGGACCCTTCCCCCGAAACGCATCTAACACCTCAGAACGGCAGAACAGGTCGCTGGTTCCATGGCAACCAATGCTGATATCACTGGTTTTATTGCCCAAAGGAATGTGGGCAAAGAAACTCACTCATTTTCCTTATAGGAAAGACACATAATGCCCAGAGAAATGGACTGTTCTCTAATTAATTCATAGGAAAACCTTTCTTTGAATGAACACACATATCTTTCAGGTCATTGTGTATGTTGTCTTTGAGATTTTATACTGTTTTATGCAGGCTTATGATGGAACCACTCATTTCTGTCATCATACCTATATGTAATCCTACCATGTTTAGTA